TACCTGTTTTCTTTTTGTCGTTCTTCTTCTTAAGTCGGGTTTTCATATTATTATTCTTTTTTAATAAATCAGGTGACGTATTTTTTTCCGAACATTTGTTCGTATTTTTCGGTTATTTGTTGGATACATTCTGCCTTTGCTTTCTTGGCTGCAGGCTTTTGCGATTTTTCAAGTACATTTGGCTTTTGTAGTACATCCTTCGCGATAAACAACAACTGATTGGTACCATTGGTTCCTACATTGCTGCCTTCGTCCATACTTATGTCCCCTTCACTTTGTGACATTTTGCAGACAACTCACAAATAACCTCTCATTCACAAGACACACAATTAATTTTTTGGCACTCGCATTCTTCAAACAAGTTTTTACAGGAATATCTAGTCGTCTTCCTTCACGCGTCCATGGCAATGCATGATAGTATTATGATAAATATCAGACAGTAACCCGCGTGGCACCTTTTACTTCTTTTTTTTTTGAAGTATATGCTCGCAAGTAAGAGGTTTTCATTATTCATATGGTACGAAGTATATACTTTTACTTCTACCTTTTACTTGAAGAACTTGCTTATACTTCTACCTTTTCCTTTAAAGCAAATACTCTATTTTTATTCATACGGGTAAATGACTTTTTTAAATAGAAAGAGCCTATATTTTTACATAAGACTATAATTAGAGTGCAATACTGTTAAAAATGGATGCCCGTTCTTTTGATTCCAAGTCACAGATTTAAAGTATTGTATTTTATTGTCATCATGAAAATAACTATGGATTTAATTTAGAAGTTTTTATAATTTATTATTTTCTCTCTGTTCAGGTTGTTTCTTCAGATGAATACGGCTTAGTATTAGACAAATCAAAGAAATGTGAAGAAGAATTAGGAGGTCCTAAAGATCTCATTGACAAATTGCAAAAAGGTGAGCATGTTGCACCTGAAGCAGCTTTAAATTTCATAAATTGTATGGCGAAATATGTAAAATAATTAAGTATTTGAACTTAAAAACACTAAAAGTATTTAAAAAGTTATAATGAAATAAAAGCATCCAGGAATATGTTTGTCTTTTATTTATTAAGTAATATCATATGAAAGAAATTGAAGTGACAAACTCAGTTTAGATCCAAAAAAACTAACTGCAGATTTGAATAGAATAGAATAGAATAGAATAATTTTATTTTACATAAGTCATTATGTTTATAGCAAGTCATAGGTGGTAACAGAATTTGAACAATATAAATAAAACAAATATAACAATAATTATTAGAGTACCAGAATTTGAACAGTGTAAATAAAAACAATAATTATTAGGTACTTATCAAGGTTAAAATTGTGACGAGGCAGAGTGACAGTGAGATGTCTCAATAGATATTTTTTTAATGTTTTTTTAAAAGCATTGTTACTTAAATTTTTAAAGTTCTGCGGTAATATGTTAAATAAGTTATAATTTAGGGAATTTATTTCAGATAGACATAACCTAAAACGAGTATTTCTAATACAAAGTGAATAACGTGTCTTGTAATTATGAATATCGGACTGTTTCAGCAAAACAGACTGTTTCCTATGAATTTCAACAAGTGTATGATGTAGATATAAAGTAGGTAGTGGCATAATTTTACTACATCATTCACAACATTGAGGACAGCCTGTGTAGTAGAACGAGAGCGTCTAAAACCATATTGGGAGTTGCTGAAGAAGCTGTTTAATTCAAAATACTCACATAATTGTTTTTTAACAATTTTTTCAATAACTTTACCAAATATTGAAACAATACTTATGGGACAATAGTTATCAATTTTCGAGGCTTTTTTGAAAATTGGTAATACTTTAGAGCATTTAAGTACTTCAGGAAATATACCAGTGGATAAAATTAAATTATTCAGTTCAGTAAACGGTTTCATTATATTGCAAGTCTCTTTTAAAATTTTACTATTGAGTTCGTGAGTGTCAACACATTTAGAATTTTTTAGAGAAGTAATTGCGTCAAAAACTTCAGACTCAAGAACAGGGCGGAAGAAAAATGAGCTACAGGGCATAGGAAAATGTTTAAAACTCAGAAGTTCGGCATTTGAAACATTAGAAAGAGGTCTTATTATATTTGCAGCAGTTGTATTAAAAAATTTATTAAGCTATTGCATAGCTTTTATCGCGGGCTTTGAGCGCGGCGATCGAAACAAGAAATTCCGCGAAAATAAACCATTGTACGCATTGTCTAACGTCGTTTTAGTTTGGCAGACTTCGGCAAGGTGTTTGTTTGCGTGTGATTAAACGTATGCGTGTAGACTAGCTGCTAACTGCTCATAACTGATTCTATCTCTTTTAGACCCAATGCTAGGTGAGACAGCGTGCTTTTGGCCGCGTCCACGAGTGAGTTCGAGCCCACTGGAGTTGTACAGTATATGTTTTCTACGACTCACTGACAAAAATCGAAAAATCGAATAATCGAAAAATCGAAAAATCGTAAAATCGACAAATCGAAACATCGAAAAATCGAAAAATCGAAAAATCGAAAAATCGAAAAATCGAAAATCGAAAATCGAAAAATCGAAAAAATCGAAAAATCGAAAAATCGAAAATCGAAAAATCGAAAAATCGAAAAATCGAAAAATCGAAAAATCGAAAAATCGAAAAATCGAAAAATCGAAAAAAGGAAAATCGAAAAATCGAAAAATACCTGCATGACCACCTTTTGGTAACATATAAAAGTCGTTTAAGATTATTTGTTGCAAATCTTTATTTTTAATACATTGTTTGTATTGCAATACACATATTTTAATTCCTTCTTTTTGAATATATCATTGCCCCTTACTAATTCGCTTATTTAATTAACAACTTCGCCAAGAAATGCTTCTTTTATATCGGCAAGTGTTAGCCAATTCTTGCTGAACACAAATATTCTAATAAATGAGAGCGTCAAGCAATCGTTGAATATATGCTTAATGGCCTCATCTTCTTGTTTGCACCCCCTCAGTGTGCGGATTCTGACACCCATATGATACGAAGATGCTTGGCAGATATTTGGCAATGGCGGTTCAGAATGCCTGTGATCAGGAGCAGATTCTGTCTAGTCATAGTCAAGTATTTGTTTGCTGTAGTGCTATACGGATAACTTAAAAACTCCCTGGAAAATTTGCAACTTCTTGTTTCATCCCTTTTTTCGTTGAATCTCATAAAGAAATGTTCTTTAATTAGGTTTGTCACTACTGATGATGTCAGTCCAATAGAAAGGCTAGTTCCAGAATGTATTTGGTTGACTGCCTTCTATTATAAGTACTAACCTAAGTAAATTCGTGGTCTGTCCAGAGTGAGTAGTACTTGTTTGCTATTTGTATAGATGGGCATGTTCCTTTCTGAAATATTACTATTTTTGGTGATTTCTTTTGCTGCTATGAGAATCTCCGTGAGGTCGTTTTATATTACATTGGCACTACTGTGAGCAGCCCATTTTATGTTTCGGTTTAAAGATCTAGGATGTGTTCCACATCCTGAGCCTTGTTTTGTTTTAGAACCGTCGGTATAGATATGAATCGCAACTGTCATTTCCAGCTCTTCTATTTGTTATGTTATAACTTTTTATGGCTTATAGAAGATATATCTAGGTGATATGTTTGCTTGAAGCAGTGGGAGCATATTCAGTGCCTTCTGTTAAAAGAGACGTCTTGTCCCATCAGATCCTACATCAGGTTCTATTCTAACCGTGCGGAGGTGTATAATTTTCATCAGAGCAACCTATTTAATGTAAATATCAAGGGAAGTTAAACTATAAATGACTTCTGTGGCTCTGGCCGGTGTGGTTTTAATGGTTCTTGTTATGTTGAGACATGCTGTTCTTTGAATTTGTTCTAATTTGCGGATAGCTACCATCTTTTGGGTTTTGGTACCCAGACTACTACACCGCACGTTAGCATAGGTCGATTCTGTGGAATATACCCCAGGTGCGCCCCACGGTTCAACGGCATTTTTCATATGTTTTTTCTACTGTTTTTTAGTTGTGAGTATAAAATGCAGAATAATGAATTGGTTGGCAAATTATCCACATACACCAAACTGTTGTTCGAATTATCACTGTCCTTGGGTTATGACTACTGATAGTTTACATTTAAAAAATGTAAACTATTTAGTAATTGTAATTTGACATTTTTAGTTTTTTTTATTAAATATTGTTTGCCGGTCATAGGTCATAAAAAAGTAGTTTAAAAGTATATAATTAACTTGTTCTTAATGTTTAAATAAATAAAGTTTTAAAAATAATAGAAGTAAAATATTAATGAATACCCACAACATCTCAAAAAATTAAAGATCCAAATATTTTTTTTGCATAAACAGGTGTTATGGGTAAATATCACAAATATTTTTAAACAAGAGAGCTTAAGAGGTAGGAGGCCATGAGCAGGTGAACAATGTTAAAGGACCAAATATTTTTACATAGATAGCCTTAAGGGTTAAAGGATCCAAATGATTTTACATGATGGACAGTCGTGAAGCATACAATATTTTGATATGTGAAGTTTAAGGAATGAAGGACCAAATATTTTTTCATGGTCAGGCTTTAGAGGAAAAGGGGTTAAATATTTAAACTAATCAAAATAGAATAGTTCTTAGAAACCAGGACTTGCAATGTTAAGATCATCTACGTAATTTAGCCTTAGTAACGCTATGTCTTCACAAACCTAAAAATTCAACACTACAATGCTTCCCATTAAATCGTTGCTTGTTTCTTTTATGCCACTAGTTTTCTCCTTTGGACCAATTCATTGTATCTTAATATGAATATAGAGATCCTGTCGATATTTAAATTACCATATTCTAAAAATTTCATGGATATACAATAGAATATTAAAAAAAATTTAATTTGTAAAATAAAATGTAAAATATAACTAGACGGTGGTATTATAAATAAAAAAATATTTGCCTTATTAGAAACGTACCAATTAAAATTAATATGACAAAATTTAAAATAATGAAACGAATTTTGATAAGGCTATTTATTATAAATATCATGTTAAAAACTTAAATACCTATCATTATCAAATATTGCCAGTTAGTATTTGCAGAAAGAGAAAAATAATTTGTAATCATGAAAATAATAATATTTTTTGGGTTAGTTATGATAGCAGGAAAAGTAAGTAAAAGTAGTTATATGTTATATTAAAAATTATTTTCGTCTTGTCTCCTCTCGAACGAGACGAGAGAGACATTTTCTCTCGAAAACAGATTCGAGCCGAGACGAGAAAGTGTCATCTCTCGACGAGAATTTCTCGTTTCTCTCAAGCTCTCTCGGTCTCTCTCAAACAATTTTCTCTTTGTATATTTGAAATTTTGAATTGCTTATCGTAACTTAAAATTTTAACACATTAGATTTCGAGATAGTCAAACAGTTAAGTTTAATACACCTATTCTATATATATTAAATGGTAACAAATTGCACATGTGTTATTAGGATTTTATAATTAGTGATTTATTAAAAAAAATATTTCTCATTTCATTTATTTAAAATTTATACAATCGTTTCTTATATTTAATCCATTTTGCTTTTCTGAGGTTACTTTTGAAGATAAGTTGAAAATTTTTAAGCGTAAAAGAACAGGTAATACAAACGAATGTATTAAAAAATTATACCCTCCTCTATTTTAACTTCTAAATGAAAAAAGATAATGACAAAACAAAAACGAGGTAAAACTCAAGAGATATTATATTTTTGTTATAACGAGATGCATTTTACTTGAGACACGTAAGATAGAGAAAGTTACTAGCTTTAAATTTTCTTATGGAAAGTAGGGTCAAGTGATACCTCATTTGAAAAATATTTTCTATATTTTTACGTTCATGTAAACAGATTTAGGTTTTTATGTTTTTATAGAAATTACATCAAATAATTTCATAAGATAGGTTAAATTCTTTTTTTTATTTACCGCTTCAACCTCAAAGGATCATTACCGGAGGTATAATACCTTATAAATGCTGTTTTTTACAATAGTATACAATGGATAATTAACATTTTAGCTAGTACAGAGTAAATGTCAGTATCTTTTATAAATTTTTACTGTTAGAGGGATTTAACACTGCACAAATGGCAATTTTTTGTAGCTAGTACTTTGTTCTTATACAGACATAGCACCTTTAATCATAAAGTGGCATAAATCAAAATTTTGAGATTTTGAGTTTCGGTAATAAAACAATCCAAAATTGTGCCATCTATTGAGGCAACTCCGATCTACGTTAAAAAAGTCAGCCAGGAAGTGCAGATTTATATTTGCGCCAGTTTAGTTCTATCGGATTTTGTAAGGTGTTTTAGACCTAAAGCGAGATAATATTAGTTGTGTGCCAATAGTGACAGGGTTTGAAATAGCATTCTTTGCAAATTTGCTTCTAAAGAGGCATTTCTTACTTTGTTACTTGAAATATTTTTTTAATATATTCCAAAAAAGAACTATTCCAAAATAATTCTAAAATCGTTATGAAATTTTTAGTAATAAATTGATACATTTCGTATTGATACCTATTCTTTTTATTACTAAAGTGACATAATTGTGAAATTGTTTTCTTACCAACAGTAAAACCATTTTTCCATCCTCCTTTAAAAAAAAAACTAAATCTTACATGCATCTTTAAAATATTGCTTAACCTTTTCTCATATTTCATTTATTCATAATACTTCGTAAATTTTCTCAAAGTTCAAATATACTAGGACAGCTCCAAATATAAAACAGTTTTTGGCAGATTCTACGAAACTAGCATTTTTCAGTTGTGCCACTTTATGATTAAAGGTGCGACATGTTCTGGGCCTTTACTCATAAGTTACATTCTTGATAACTCTCGTATTAACAATTATTGTTTATTACTAAGAAAACGCTTCTTGTATTTACTAAAATAAATAAATTAAGAATATCAAAGGTGATTTAAAAACCACTTAACGTATTCAATGTTTCATAACTTCTTAGCAAAAAAAACTTATTAAAAATTTCTCTTCGAACATTATCTAACATTTCTTGGATTATTGCGGCACACGAGGATTATCACGAATGAAACTTTTGTAAAAACAAAAAAATTAATTAAAACTGTTTGCTTGGACGTAAATATAATCAAAATCGCTTTCAAATGAGGTATTACATGACTTTACTTTCCATTAGAAAATTTAAAGATAGTAACGCCCTCTATTTTACGTCTTAAGTAAAGTGCATCTCATTATAACAAAAATATTATAATGTTTCTCTATTTTTACATTGTATTTGTTTTATATCTCTATCTTCTTGCATTTTAAACATACTACAAAATGCTTTTAGTTGACATCGCAGGATTGCCTTAGAAAAATTCTAACTTTCAATTTAACCTCTTCCCCCCTCCCCAACTGACCTACAAGACAAAGTATTTTCGTTTTTAATTAACGCCTAATCTGGGCCACTTATTACTTCAAATTTCAATTGTGTGACAGACGGACAGACAGAGAGACATAAGTGTTTCTTATTGCCAAATTTTAATTTGGTCTATTTGTGTAGGTAGATATATTATGTTTAAGAAAGATTTTGAAAAAATATGAAAACTGAAAACAGTTATAAAAATAAAAAAAAAATACACCAGAAGCCATACTATCAAAAATAATATTTTATTAAACCTTCGAAGACATTGTGTGGTATGCATAAAACATAGTACATGCTTATGTTCAGTACCGGATAACCCATATCAAATTAAGGAATTGCCACTAGAAACAGCACCAAAAAATATATTTCCTAGTAGATGATAGGTAAGGCTGTTTGAAAAAAAGCACTTTAGTATCTTGTAGAGTAATGTGGATTAGATTTTTCGAAATGCAGAGGCCAGTCATACTACAATACCTCAAATATGTCTGGGCGTTACAATGGCATCTGTACATTCTATTAAGCATTTTCTTAAATATTTAATCTCAATTTTAAACAGATCGTAGTTATTCTTAAAAAGTCGATATCAGAAGCATGAAAAAAATATTTCTAATAAGCCGTAACATCAAAAATTCAACGGCCATATTAAACTTCATTTAGACACACGTTTTAGATCACTGTAGTGTGAAATTTACTACCCTTGCTTGGGACCATTTCAAAATCGACTTTCATGACATTTATTTGTTTCCTAACCCCTCGTTGGCCGTTCCCGACTAGGGCCGATAATAACAACTATTTCATAGATTTTGAATAGGACTATATTTCGGAACTTGCTCTTAGTAACGAATCTAGTTACTTTTTCCTGTAAATGCGTCTGTTAAATTGGCTCCTCTTAGTTTAAAAATAAAATATAGGAGCTTTAAAGACTTTGAATTGATTTCTCCTTAGTTCTACATCTAATTTATATCCAGTTTTATAACCTGGAACGAAGTAAACCTTGCTTTAAACTGTTTTGTCACTCATGTTAATAATAATAATAATAATGTTTATTTGCATAGAAATACATAGTACATAATAATTAGTAACAACAAATAAACGGAAATACAGTAAATGAGATAAAAACCACGAAGTAAAGCAAGTTACTTGTATGTGGCTACTACACATTTTTTAACATTATTGGTATATAAAAAAGTATTTAAAATTACATAAAAATAAAAATATAGAACCTTACTATCTAAAATAATGTAAATAACAAAAATGATAATAATAATAATACAAAGTATATATATATATATACACAGGGATTTTAAAGACAAATTCTAATTTTCAATAATTTGATGTGCAAAGGCACGTGGCATGCTTAAGGTAAATCTTTTTATTTTCTTTTTGTATATCGGAAATTTAATTTCGTTTCTAATATCACAGGGTAGTGAATTATAAATTTTAGGACCTAAAAAGGAATAAGATTTTTGTCCAATAGCTTTCTTCATATAAGGAGGAACGTACGTTAGTTTGTTACGGGTGGCATATTCGTGACTTGAAGTTTTAAGTTCCACCTTGTGGTTATACTGGGTAATACCTACGTTTATAAAATATAGCTGTCTAGGATCAAATATACCACTCTCAGTATATAACATATTGGTTGGACAATCATAACCCCTCTGCAAAATGATTCGAATAAATCGTTTTTGGAATATTTCAAGTGATGAAAGGTAAGTTTTGGATACGCCACCCCATCCTATTATCCCATAATTAAGATGTGATTCAACTAAACTCTTGTATAACATTATGTTACTTGGAGACACTTTATTTCACATTGACTTTTACATAAAAAATTGTCGTAGCTAACGTTCGACCGGCCAACTGTAGTATCTGTATATTTTGTTCTTACAGAGTCTGTATCATTTACTAAATATACACATTAGGCTTGTTTGTAGGCGAACGAATATTAAATGACTGAATTCCTACAAAAGAACACTGTTAGATTGAACAGAAACACCTAGTGGCTAATGTTAAAATAAAAAAGTTAATATACCATTTTTTTATTTATTTTATTTTTTTATTTATTGATACACTGCTCAACAGGCAATTCCAATGACAAAAATAATTACGAAAACATAAGAATATGTAAACATTATACGGACCTAAAAACTTCAGACATAATTCTATGTTCACTACAAATAAATATATCTATGGTATTACTGACTAAGTTACATAATGTACATAATATGGCACTGGTGATGATTTTAAACATTAGTTCTTGCTGATGGGAGATAGAAAGTAGACTGCGACCATGTAGTAGTTCTCAGAACGTTAAAAGCAAGTTTTTCTAATAATTGTTCGCAATGGATTTTGTTATGTACTAATTTGTATATGAAAATAATAAGATGACAATTTCGCGTTGTCTTAAGATCAATAAAGTTATGTCTGTTAAGCAGATATTGATGAGGTGTACCTATTTCCAGATAAACGATATCCTGTTTAAAGCAAATGAATTTTAAGAATCGCCGCTGCACTGATTCCAACTTGTCCCGATGAGTTTGGTAATGGGGATTCCAAATTATGGAAGCGTACACCAGTTTAGACCGAACGAATGAAAAATACAGCATTTTAAGAGTTTCTATATCTAAAAACTCTCTACTAACACGTAACAAAAACCCATACATTTTTGATGCTGCAGATACAATTTTTTCAGTGTGTAATATAAATGAGAGCTTTGGATCAAAAGTTATACCAAGATCGCAAAAATGTTCAGGTATTTGTAGAGATGACCTGTTTATCTCATAGTTGAATTAAATAATATCCGATTTTAATGAAAATGACATTATATAACATTTTGATGCATTTAAAGGGAGAAGGTTTAAGCGACACCAATTTCCGACTGATTTTATGTTATTATGCATACGTTCACAGTCAGCATTGGAAGAAATTGAACTAAAAATTTTCAAATCATCCGCATATAAAAGACAATTTACATCAATGCACTCCACAATGTCGTTAATAAATATATTAAAAAGCAAAGGACAGATCCTTGCGGCACCCCAGATGTTGTATTCTACAGACTTAAAACCGTTTTAAAAAATATACTGTTGACGATTTTACAAATATGAATGGAACAGTTTTATGACAGACTCTGACAACCCGTAACCGATGAGTTTGTTTATGAGCATCCCATGATCAAGTCTGTCAAACGCCTTTGAAAAGTCTGTATACACAACATCAGTTTGCAGTCGACTGTTCATATTTTCTGTGATGTGCTGTGTGCATCTAACGAGGTTTGTTATAGTAGATCGACCTTTTACAAAACCATGTTGATGGGATGATATCATGGGTGAAATATAATACTCTAAATGTTTGTGCAGAAGGATTTCAAAGACTTTACTAAAGTTGCATATTACCGATCAGTTTTGTCACCTTTCTTAAATATAGGACAAATCTTGGAACTTTTACACGAATTAGGTACAGTATGAATCTTAATGCACATATTTAAAATAATCATTAGAGGTACAGTAAGACTTACAGCACAGTCTCAACTATAAACGCCGGCACATGGTCAGGGCCGGTGGTTTTCTTCGGTTTGATCTGCCTTAAAGCCCATAACACTTCCTCCTCCCCAAATTTAGAGAGGTTAAATATTTGATAAATCTGCCTCATTAGTAGGTGACCCTATAGTTTCTTTGCTAATAGCGATATTCTTTTGTCCTGTTCATGTCTAAAATCACTAATTTATTAATAAAATCAGGCTATAAAGTACGACAGTCATGGCACAATTAGGCATTCCAAACAAATGAATTGCCAGTGGGCAGGTTTGGTAGATCTGACAGTTGCGACACACGGTGTAATCTATCTACAATACGTAAAATAATGAATAATGGATTACATTTAAATATTTTATATCGAACACTATAAAAATATTAATTAAAAAAACTGCTTGTAAATTTTTTTAAAAACTGGCAGGATTGACGACTGATATTTCGAATAAAAATAGCGTCCAAGATGCAAGACTATGTCGCTACCCCCTTAGATATACGAGACCTTCCCACTGGCAGGTATTGTTTGACAGGTCGTTGGAATGCCTAATAGTGTACCATTTTTAGGTTGAAATCCGCCTTCTTTAGTTCTTGCAGAAAAAGCCCATTACGGACTTTTTCATCAAATGTGAATTTTACATACAGGTGTTTTTTAATTGAACTAAGTCTTAATCCATGCGAGATATGGACTTTTTTAAAGAGAAAGAGCCTATATTTTTACCTAAGACCATAATTAGAGTGCAATACTGCTAAAAATGGACGTCCGTTCATTCCAAGGCACGGATTTAAAGTATTGTACTTTATTGTCATCATGAAAATAACTATGGATTTAATTTCAAAGTTTCTATAATTTATTATTTACTCTCTGTTCAGGTTGTTTCTACAGATGAATTCGACCTAGTAATGCAAAAATCAAAGGAATGTGAAGAAGAATTAGGAGGTCCTAAAGATCTAATTAACAAAATGGACAAAGGTGAGGATGTTGGAGATGAAACTAAAGCAGGTAAAATGGCCCTCTGCATTAATGGAAAACTGGGTCACATGAATAAAAAAGGAGAAAATATTCCTGACAAATTGAAAAACCATGTGAATAAACTTACTGAAGATAAAAAACTGCGTAAACAGGTTATTGAAGAATGTGGACCTAAAAACGGTAAAACTGCACCTGAAGCAGCTTTAAATTTCGTAAAATGTATGGTGAAAAATTTCAAATAATTAAGTATTTGAACTTAAAAAATACTAAAAGTATTTATTAAATTAGAGTGAAATAAAAGAATCCGGGAATATATTTGTTTTTTATTTATTAAATATTATCATATGAAAAAAAGTAAAGTGACAAAATCAGTTTGGTTCCGAAAAACTAAATGCAGAATTGGAAATCCTGAAAATGAAAAATCCCTCATTCCCCCTACTAAATCACTAAAATTACACCTTTATATCCCCAAAGTGAAAACAAACCAAAGAAAAATTGAAAAACCTGAGAATTAAAGAAAGAAAAATGCGTGCGAGACCGGGGATCGAACCCGGATCCTCAGATAACTAATAAAGCTATCCCAGCACATACGCTTTGATGTCCGAATTTGTAAACCTGAAGTAAGCCAGATTCAGACCAAAGATATATTCAGATTCCCGTCGTTACACACAAATTGTCATCCAATCTCAGCTCTCTCGATTCCCGGTCTCGCACGCATTATTTCTTTCTTTCTCACCTTTTTACAATTTTCTTTGGATTTTGCTTTGGGAATATGAGGGTGTATTTTTATTATTTCGTAGGGGGAATTGGGGAATTTTCATTTATAAAATTTCCAAATCTGAATTATATTTTGAATAACAATGTTTTTTTTTAATTCAACCACTACTGATCAGAGACAATAGTAATTTACGTTACAAGACCGGAAAGGAGTGTCTTGCAGGTCAAGACAAGCAGATTCCAGAGCGAGCAGGATGCGAGACCTGGAAGCTAGGAGAGACCTACTTAACACTAATTTTCGGTCGTGTGATGTACAATATTTTTTAAGACCCACACTTCGATTAAAATACAATTATCTATTTAATTTAATAATGTATTTAACAAATACTAAAACTTGATAATGGATCTGGAATTTCATTTTCTATGTCAAATAATTCAAAATCTCAATCCATATTTTTAGATTTGCGAAATCAAGGCAAATTGTATTATCAAATAGCGATCGGAAAAATGAAAAACAGGGACTGCTGTAAGCTTTTTTTTAAGACCGACCAGAAAATATACACTTTTTTGAAAAATGTTTTGTCAAGAAAATAACGTTTTGCCGACCAAGACCGGAAAATAGACGTTAGGGACCGGTAAAGTTTTTACCGGTCCCTCTTTTTTATTTTTTCGATCGCTGTTTGATAATACAGTCTGCCTTTTTTTGCTTTGGATTGTATGACACGAACATTCAGTTCATTCACCTCTTTTGCCGATTTTGTCGATTTTGCTCATGTTTTATATTTACAAGTTCTACAAATATTACCTATTTACACAAATATATTTTTTTAATTATATATTATATGTACATTTTGTGTTATTATTATTATTTTTGTTTTGTTTCTTTATTTATTTTTTTTTAATTGAAGGAAAATGGAAAAGGTAGAGACAAGGACACTTTTTTACGCCTAACGGTCGTTCTAGGCGATTTATACAGGTAGACCACAGTTTGTGAGGGTGATACAAGAGGTTAGACATTAATGGTTAATAACCTTATACTATAATATAGTTTTTATTTTATTTACTCTTTTATTTATTATTTAATTTTTGTTTACAATTTTAATTTTATATTGTGTATGTGCCCTATTAATGCATTTAAAATATTTAATTTTATAGGTTGGGCTATCAATTGAGTTAAATTAAATGGGTGACTTATACTAGAAGAGTTTTTTAATTTTTTCACAAAAGATGTTACCTCTGTTTGTGTTAGTTGGCAATTTAACATTTTATGTTCGATATCTCCTATTTCTCCTCAAGTGCAAAAGGGATGATTATTTAATTTTATTTTGTATAGATGAGATGGAACCAAAGCGTGAATAAACCTCATTCTACAAATTTGTCTAACGACTGATTTACCAAAAGGTACCAAATTTATATCCCTATTTTTATGGAATTCCAAAAAACTACTGTAGTTGGCGGGTGGCAAAATAACAACGTCTATTTTCTATGCAAGTCAATTGGAATTAATGTGATCTTTGTAAACTTTAGTGAAAAGAATAAAAATAAGCTGAAATAAAGAACCTGACTACAAGTAACAATGAGTAACAAAAAACGACAAAGCAGGATTTGCTTCGTTTCGGGTTGCAAAATTAAAGAAATCACAAGAAGATAAAATTCCAAGTCTTTTTAAAGCTCCTAGTGTAAGTAAAATAATGTATTTATTTCTAAATAATATATATTTATTGAAATAGTTACAACCTGTATCTTACGGAGTGTAGTTTATTTAATTACAAAATTCTATAATAAAAAATAAAGTCATAAATCCTGACTTACAAACAACAATAATTACACATTAAATTTAACTTACTAGAAAAGAAAATTTGCTTTTTTATGTTTTTTGATCGAGAGAAACTATCATAGACAAGAGATTATCATCATGTCCGATAGTCAAGCAGCCATCAAAGCGCTGAGTTCTTACGTAATCAGCTGAAAAATGGTTTGGAGATGCCTAGAACAATTGAATGAGCTAGGCGAGAAAAATAGAGTTACTCTCACTTGGGTCCCGGGACATAACGCGGTACAGGGTAACGAGATTGCAGATAGTCTTGCAAGGAAAGGGGCTCAAACACCCTTTGTAGGACCTGAGCCGTTCTGCGGTATCAGGAGTAACATAATATTAGAAGAGATTAAAAAATAATTGGGTAGTAGAAGAACCGATAATTGGAACAATCTCTTGGGGCTGAGACAGGCCAAGATACTTCTGGGTGAATATAACCAGAAAAGATCGGAAGCTTGCATCTGCCTAAGCAAGAACAGGCTACGTATTGTAACATGGATCCTTACCGGGCATTGCTGACTAAAAGGACACCTAAGTAAACTGAGAGTAGTAGAGGATAGTGAGTGCAGATTCTGTGAGGAGGAGGACGAAACCTCCATTCACATCCTAACTAAATGTGTAGCACTCCAGAATCCAAGGGCACTATATCTAGGAGGATATCAAATAGAAGAGGGAGATTTACCTAACTTGAAGCCACTTCAAATCCTACACTTCCTTGAGAAAATAGGATTGGAAGGGTCGCTATAGGCATTGAGACATTTCCTTAGTGCAGTGGCGACAGAAGAGGGCACAATAGATCTTTTAGGTCGCAGTGTATTAACACCCCATTCTCAACATAACATAACATGTTTTTTGATGTTAGATAAAGAGTTACTACTGTTATTTTTCTTTATTGAACTCTAATTTACTCATTACAAATATTTTTTATAGGATCCTAAACGTTTAGAACAATGGCAGCATGTGATTCCTAGGGGTGATAAGGTACTGTCTATATATGATTCTGTTAGCGAGCTACACTTTTTAGAAGAAGATATTTTAAAATTTGATGAGACTACTTTAACTAATAGTACTGTTAACAAAATAAAAAGGGAAAGGCCGATATTAAAGAACGAAGCAATACCATGTATATTCCCGAATCTTCCTTCATACTTGTCCAGTATTAGGAAAAGACGAAAACCATCATTGAACCGAACTGAATTTGTTAGATTAAAAAAAAAGGAAGAAAATACCAAAACCTATTGCTGAAGAAAATATTCACTAGGATGATGAAATTGTAGTTGTCGAATACAAAATTACCACAAAACTGTTCTTACCAAATTTCACTATTTAACAAACCTTTCCTAATTTTCATTTTAATTAGATAAAATTAAATAATGAATAGTAAATAATGTTTAACATAAAGACTCATTTATAATTGATACCAAAAGTATTTTTTGTACTTTAGTTAGCAATTAAAACAAAGACTTATTTACAATAATTATAATCAACAGTATTTTCTGTGCTTTAGTTAGCAATAAACAATTTGATTTTTATTATTTTCATAAAATTTTTGTAAAATCCCTAACTAAATATTTTCATTTAAATAAAAATAATTTGCCCTACCCATCAAATTTCGACACTTATCATCAATAATTTGCATTTAATTTAAATAGGAATAAATAGTATGTATCAATTAAAATATGTAAGACTTATTTAGAAATAAATACAACACTATGTTCTGTGCTTTATTTAGCTATAAACAAGTTTATTTTTATTATTTTGACAAAATTATGTATAATTCCCATAAGAAGCCATGTATTTTGAACTACGTAAACCGTACCAGCGCCCATGTGGTTAATTATAAAAGATCAATTGACGTGTGATTTTTGGGACCGTATTTTGAGCATGCCGATTCGCCTCCTTATCTCTAGTCTTCATAGTATTCATAGTATTCATAGTATATACAAAAATTCGTTTCTTCAACTACAAATTATAATTTAGAAAAACAACCAATGTTTGTATAACCTTTTTGCTGTATTTTGGAGAAAATTTAGTTTGTTTAAACGAACATTTTTAACAATGTCTGCAGTTTTATGCAAATTTTGATTATTATTTCGATATTAAACAAATTATTTCGAGGTAATTAACTTTGTTTACAATTAAAATGTCAAGTGATACGCCATTTTACTTTCAATATTAAACAAAATTTGTTATTGAGGGCCGTGAAATCGGCAGTCAATATTACCTTTTGGCAGAATAAATACGAATTTAACTTCCTTCTGTATACATATAATTAAAAGCCGGTTGGTGGCAAATAGCCGGAAGAGTAGTGGTTTTCTGAACGTAGGTTATCTTCCTGCTACTCTTTCTGTCGACTAGTGTGACAATGAATTTATTTATTTATATAATTTACAGAGTGGAAAAATTAGATCATAAATTGCAGAGGAAATGTCTATTTATATGCGTGGCAAGCCATTCATAATTTGCACCTATGCTTTTTCGCCTCTTGTCCTTACTCCATTCCTTTTCTTCTTCATTTTCTTCTTCTTCTTCTTCTTCTTCTTCTTCTTCTTCTTCTTCTTCTTCTTCTTCTTCTTCTTCTTCTGCTTTCCTACGCCTTCCCTGCTTTTCTTCTAAACTTTCCTTTTTCTCTTCCTTTTCCTTCCTGCGTCTTTTCTTCTTCTCTTCTTGCCATGTCTTCTTCTCTTCTTGTCTTTTTTCTGCTCTTCTCACCTTTCCTTCTCCTCTTCCAACTCCAAAAACCATGCTAGGGGGCTAAAAAGTGTAGGTACGTTGTCAGTTAACGAGAAAATATTTGTAAGCAATGTTTATAATTGCCTAAG